GAAGTTAGCTGGTGGCGCTATGCTTTACGACCCTGGGTGTGCTTTACGGACAAGCGCACAGCAATGACGTAGAGAGCATAGCAACCACCCTGGGAGGGCCTATGAGCCATAACAACCAGTTGACCAATCAACACAGGGCAAGCCCTCCAAGCCTGGAGGCACACCAATCATGAGCCTGTGCGTAAGCCTGTGCGTACCCCTAGACACTCCCCTTACGCTGCCCTATAAGATCTTTGGGGAGACCTTAGGAGCCGTCTTCTCTAGCTGTCCGCCATGGTGGGTGGGTGAAAGACCCGAGCTAACATGGGGTTAGTTCGTTAAATTACAATAAAGCCTCGTGCAGTTTGCAGCAAGCTCTCGAATCCGCCTGGTGATTGGGGTGACCGCGAACCTGGCCTGAGACCCCGGATACTTGAGTTTTCGGGGGTCTAACAGTCTTAGGTGACCCCTGTGAAAGGATCATTTGACCCCGAAGGGGTCACCACCCAAAGGTTGAGGACCACTGCTTTTTGGCTGTGCTTTTAGTTGTAAATAATGGCTCCAAAGACTTCATCTGCGCTGGGCATTGGTGGCACACGCCTTTAATCCCAGCACTCTGGAGGCAGAGGCAGGCGGATCTGTGTGAGTTCGAAACCAGCCTGGTCTCCAGAGCGAGTTGCAGGATAGGCTCCAAAGCTACACAGAGAAACCATGTCTCGAAAAAACAAACAAACAAACAAAAGACTGCATCTGCTCAGTAGAACCAGGTTGCTGCTGCCAGGAACTTTAACCCCTGTACGTCTAGAAGGCTCTAAAGGAACAAAAATATTCGACTAGGAGAATCTTTTGTCTTCCTCACTTCTGTCGAGTTTTTAGCGACAATGCCATCTCTTCAGGCAATATTATTTACTTTTTAGTTTAAATTGTCTCTCACAACACAGCCAGTCCTGTTCTGTTTTTCTCCTTTGGTATATGCTATTTGCCTCCACAGGCCTGAGCCTTGTGAATTAGTGGATTAGTGGTAAAGTGCCTGTGTTTAGAATCAGGGTGGTCGTGTGTTCAAACCCAGGCTGTCTCCACTGTCAGTCCAGGTCGCCTTTGCTGCTGCCTCTGAGCTGGGACACTCAGCAATAACCTAGAAGTGTATAAAGGTAATGAGTGGTTTCAAATAACTCATAGACACCCATAGTAAATGGAAAAGCTTTTGTCAACATCTTTAATGGTTTCAGTTGGTAAATTATTAACAGAATATATGTGGAGTCCTCAGCATTTCAAACATGTTGTTTTCTGAGCTAGAACACTGAAGGAAAGTATCACGTGTCAATTCCCCCTCCCCCTCTTCTCCTTTTACTTCCCCCTCCCTCCTCCTCTTACCCCCTCCTCCCTCTTCCCCAGGGCTGTGCTGGGAGCCATCTCCTCATGAAGGAACTTCTTTCCACATGGCTGAAGGTCCTGGTGTTTTATGTTGATCCTGCCATGTGAATGGCTTGATTCAATTCCATCCCTCCTCTGCTAGCATGAGGGAAAAATTTGAACAAAATAACAAAAATCTTGATTCTGCTAAATGCTCTATCACTAGCTAACTTATTAACCTTGGGTAAATTACTGAACTTCCCTCAGTCAGATAGTCACACTCTTTGTATTGTGTGTCTATGGAGGGACCTTGTGAGAATCAAGTGACATAAGCCTTGTGGATAGATTGTGATGCTTGTAGATTTTGCCACTGGGTATTGTCTGCCTTTACATTTCATCCATTCACATGTTCCAATTCTGACTGATTCAGAAGGCCAGAAGAACAAGTCCCCATACTGATGAGTGGAATGGCCTGCAGGACACATTGACTAGGAGACATAATGGGCTGTTGTTTCTGTATTCACACCAGATGGTAGAGGCTGCTATTATTTCTGATATCTGTAGATCATCAATATACAGATACAATATACAGTATTCCAATACACTATTGGAAACAGTGTTTAAGGAAGGAAGAACAGAGTTCAGAAGGGCCAAGGAGAATGGGGAGACAGGCTTTTTGAAAAAAACAGGACTGTTGTATTGTTAGGATTACATCTGTAGCATTACACTGTCCTGATTTAGTGACAAAGAAGTATCTGGCCCAATGTTCTAACTCAACAACCCTGGGAAAATATATAACATACTTAAATTTTCTGTGTTGGTTTAATGGAAGTGAGGTGGGTACCTACCTCACATGGTTACTGTGATTTTAAAATAAGACCCAAAGTAACCATCACATGATGGTGTGTGTGTGTGTGTGTGTGTGTGTGTGTGTGTGTGTGTGTGTGTATGCATGCATGTGACTAAGTGTGTGTTTTACTACAACTGTTTCTGCTACTTTCAGGGACAGTGCATTTCATTTACCACACATTGAATTCCTGAAAGTCACAATGCCATGCTACAATGCAATGCAGTCTCAATGTGCTCAGAGACCAGCCTGAAAAACAGAAGACAATTCACAGAACACAAAGTTCCCAGTTGCAGAGGAAGTCACCTAAGATGCCAGGGACAGACCAGTATTAATGGTAAGTGCTGAGGGGTTTGAGTTCCCTGAGACGACCAGGGATGACGTTTCACAGGCTGTGGCATGAAGAATGACTTTGTTTGAATCAGGGGAAAAATTTTAAGCATAGAATCATAGAATCAATAAGGGTAGTGGCATGCTGAGAAAACAGGAAGAAACTTTGACTGGTTCAGACCAGTAGGCCGATGGAAACTGGCTTGATAGTCAAGAAAGGGCCAGACATCCTTTTCTGGCTCCAGATAGGTCTGTCAGTCATTCCTCAGGAATTCTTGCTACTTAAGAGAGCAGGTGTGATGAGCTTGCCTGGGGATACTCCATTAACTCCTGATAAACAGTGTGACTTTTTTTTTTTTTCTCTTCCTGGAGAATTACCCCTTGATCAACAACAGCATTTATCAAAATGTTTAGATGTGCTGGGCTTCTACAAAGATGATGAGGGAGTGGGGACAAGAGAGTGGGGTGATGGCTCAGTCAGTAAAGTAGTTGTCTCATAAGCACAAGGTTGTGAGTCCAGACCTCAGCACCTATGGAAAGGGAGAGATGGTGAGTCACATGTGTCATCCCAGCTCTGGACAGATGAAGAAAGGCAGGCTCCTGGGATCTGCTGGCCACTCGCCGGGGGCAAGTCAGCAAGCAAATCAGCAAGCTTGAGCTCCAGACCCCATTTCAAGAAACAGGGTGTATGGCTCCTGGCTCCTAGATTGATACCTCTTATCTCTACACAGGAAGAGTGTGAGGAACACAGAGACCCTGAAAGATATCAGGGTAGCAGCTTATTCTAGGTTTGGAAGAAGGAGAAGATGCATGGATCAAGATAACAAATTGTATAGAAAAGAAGGACTGCACATGTAAAGAAAGAACGGAAAGCCAATACAGAGTAACTAGGAAACAGTGACATGCTCTGTCACTGGCAAAGGTTGGGCTGCTATGATGTGTGCAGAACAACCTGAAACCACGATTTGACTGTGCCTTGCCTGACATACCAGAGGCCCTTTTAGCTGCGGAGAGCACTCAGCATGCCACAGTGTTTCCTGTTTGCCTGCCATGGCACCCATCACATTATGTTCTCCGTCTACCAGGGCACTGGTGATGTGTTTTTTTTTTGTTTTTTTTTTTTTTTTTTTTTTTTTTTTTAAGCTTAATTCTCTTCTTCCTTTATCATGTATCTGCAGTTATTTGTCTCAGCCTGACTTGCAGTGTAAGTTGGACATGCCCAACACCTTCAGTGTTACACACAGTATCTACAACTCTCTCTTCAAGACAGGTTTTCTCTTTGTAGCCCTAGCTGTTTTGTAGACCAGGCTGGCCTTGAACCCACAGAGAGCCACCTGCCTCTTCCTGGGATTAAAGGCGTGCACCACCACCACTGTCCAGTGACAATTCTTTCTTGACCTTCAATTTTTTTTTTTTTTAAAGAATTTTCTAGAGGAGGATTCTTGGATGTTCCCTGCTTTGGGCTGAGTATTGGACTAGTATAAGTCCGACAGGTCAGTTGGCTGTATTGCAGTTTAGAATTAGAATGAGGAAAATGTCTGACTGGCAGTGGTGGCACACGCCTTTAATCCCAGGACTCAGGGGAAGAGGCAGGTGAATGTCTGTGAATTTGAGGCCAGCTCGGTCCACTGAGGCCAGCTTGGTCTATAGAGAGCGTTCTAAGGTAGGCTTCAAAGCTACATAGAGAAACCCTGTCTCGAGAACCCTCCTCCTCAAAATATGAGGGAAAAATGTCAATGTAGACAAAAAGGATGGTATTAGTCTTGGAAAAATGAGGTTAAATCAGACCTAAGGTTTTTTTTTTTTTTTTTAACCCATTAAGCAATTGTGTGTGTATGCTCATGCATGCACATGTATGCCACATGTGTGTGGCTCTGTGAAGGCCCCTACAGGGCACTGGATCTTCCCGGATGGAGGTATAGGCAGTTGTGAACTATCTGATGTGGGTGCTGGGAATTGGACTCTGGTCCTCTGCAGGAGCGGCAAGCACTCTCAACCACTGAGCCATCTCTCCATCACCCTATTTAAAATTTTTATACTTCAGAACCACATCTGATAAAAAAAAATAGTAAGCGCCAACAATATTGAGCCAGATGCCTGCTAGGTTTTTGAGAAGATGAGAAGCAATAATAATAATAATAATAATAATAATAATAATAATAATAAGTAGTGAGTTTTTCCATGGTGGAAGCTCTCAGCCACCTGAGTTTCAGGAGACCAGGACCAAGACCCTTGTTCTTCTGAACACACTGAAGATGCTTTGTGTGTGTACACAATCCCCCCAAAGGTTTCCTTGATGAGAAGTTGCCTTCAGAGACGGCAGCTCAATAATACATAGGGTCTAGGTTTAGCAAGAATCACTCTTACTCTGTATTGGCCTTGCTCTGATCAAGAATCTTTGAAGCATGAGTTCAGTGAGTGCCTTGCAGGTTTTCTGAAGGAATACTACTCACGAGTTCTTGGAGTTTTCTTTCTCTGACCTCTTGCCATCAACATTAGACTTAATTTTAAAATTTCATTTGTATTATACATATACATCTTAACATTAAACACGTAAGCACTCAAATTTGTACCGATTCACTTTCTAGATAAAATATACGTAGTAGTTCCTCCTAGGAGGAAATACTACATCCAAAGTCTCTGTTGTCACTTTGTTATAAAAATATCCTTGTCCCAACCCTGTCTTTTAGAAAAGAAGATGTTTGGGTTACACAGTCTGAGTAATAATGGTGGGGAGTACAGATGTCTTTGGCAACAAAGGGATTTTGTGTCATTTATTCATCCATCCTTTCCCCTGTCTCCTTTTTAATAACCAAAGAACAGAATAGAACAAAACACAACCTCAGAAAAAACAAAACAAAACAAAGCAACAGCTACAGCAATAACAACAAAAACAAACCAAGAGCCTTGGGTGAGTTGCTAAAACAATTAGATCTGCTAGTGAGATCTGGGGATGTGATGTGGCTTCTTTACTGCAGAAGAACTGTATCATGTTGTTAAGAAGAAAGTGGGCATCAGGAGAGAGAGGAGAGGTGATGAGAAGTGTGGGTCATAAGCTGTGTTTCTCAGCAGGGCCCCATTAGCATGTGGAACAAGGCGGTTAACCACAATTCTATAAATACAGCAAAGGAATCTGATAGTATTTAAATATGGGTCGGACTCCTCTTAATTAATTGTACATTTTACTTCCTCTTCTAAAATTCTTTAAAATTTTTTGAGACTTTTTTTGAAAGAGGGTTTCTTCTGTTATGATCTATAAATGTCTCCCAAGTGTGGGTGTCTGGCAAGCTACCCCAAATTTACCATCAAAGAAGCGTTCTTTACTTTTGGACTGTTCTCGTTTTCCCTTTGACTTTTGCGTAAGCATCCATAGCTCCTTCCCCTCTGTTGTCTTTAAACTCACTCTCTCAGGTGAGCTAATTAATTCTTGCAGTTCTGCTTGCAGTTGGCCTAGTTTCTACATCCATCGCTGACATTCAACAACTCTTGGCCCTATGAGTTATGCAAGACCAGGGAACCTGCATTTAGGTCTGTCTTCATTGTCTAAGAAAAATAGGATAAAAATTAAACTTATCCAGTTCTCTTTTGCAATACCATCATTTATCGAGTTTCTTAATTTTATAAATATTTGAGTGACAATGTGTTCCCTCCTATGCTAGGTTATATTTAGTGATATAACGGTGATCATGTAAAATACCTCTAATTGAGCTGTTAATGTTTTCTATGTTAAGTTATGATATTAACTAAGCACTCAAAATTCATGGGGTTTTTGCAATGTAGGGTTAGAAAGATGTAGTTTTAAAATAGTCACATAATTACATAATGACTAATAGAGATGATGACCACAGTCAAAACCTCAGATTCTTACAACAGTATGATATAAAATATTGCTCATTCAGTCTGATTACTTAGCGTTGATTTTTTTCCTTTTTTATTTTTTTATTATTTTTGTTTGTTTGCTTGTTTTTCGAGACAGGGTTTCTCTGTGGCTTTGGGGGCTGTCCTAGAACTAGCTGTTGTAGACCAAGTTGGTCTTGAACTCACAGAGATCCACCTGCCTCTGCCTTCTGAGTGCTGGGATTAAAGGCCCCCCCCGCCTGGCTTTTTTTTTTTTTTTTTTCTTTTTTAATATTGGGGATTGAACGCAGGACCACATGCATTAGGCAAGTGCTAACCACTGAGATACTCACCAGCCTACATTTTCTTCAATTTTCATATCCACTTGGTCACTAAGATCTACTGAGTAGCTGTACCCCATATTGTAGCTTTGGGAGGGGCTGCCACTTTTGAGTTGCTTCCTCTGGGTTCCTGGCCCACTAACACATGGTGGTTGCGTCAGTATTCCTAAGTGGTCAGTTTTAGCTAATCACTCTCCTTCTTAAAGATGTTCGGTGTTAACCAAGCCTGGTGAACTGACTTCATCCAGATTATTTTGTGTATATGGTCTCATTGTGGTAATTGAAAAATCTAGCACTCAGCCCTTCATTCCACTGTATGCATGCTGTCTCCATGGCAGGGTGCTACCTGCCTTCCTTTTGGCACCCCACACCTTCTTTGTGTAAGTGGCTTTTAAACTGTGTATACTTGGGTAGCCCTGGACTGTAGTGGAAGGACAGAGGAAACTGAAGGACGAATGGGGCTCTCCTCTCCTTCCTCATTGTATTCTGCATTGGATTTCCACATAACAAGTCACTCAAGCAAAGGGTTGGTTTAAGGCAAACAACCACGGCAACAGCAACACAGCCCTTGAAAACCTATGTGTGTCATTGGATGCCCCTCCTTTGAAGAACATTCACTCTGTTCTTCTACCCGAGCATGCATTCTCCTTTGAATTCATTTGCCTCCTTGAGTCTTGGTTGTTTTCTTTCTAATTTCTTTTGCATTCCCTAAAGTGCTTTGCCTTTGCATAAATGAATGGATAAGTTGATGAACACATACATGAATTTTCTGTGTGGTGGAAAACTCCTGCTCATAAAATTATGTTTTAAACCTACCCTTCTCCATTTTTCAGCAATGAGATAACTGGAAATAGTCAGCATATCACTCTGACTTACCCTGTCTTCTGGTTCTGCCCTTTCCTTTCTTCCAAGGTTTACATTTGCTTGTTTGGGGCCCAGATGTTCAAACTTGCTATCTCACATCTCTTAGGGGAGAATGGAAACCTCTTTTAGGAGCAAGGCCTATCTCCTATGCTAAGTTGTCATAATGTGAGTTTAATTGGATCACAAATATTGTTAACACTTATTATTCAAGCCTATTCCTGAATGGTAACAGGACATTGTTTTTATCCCAAATACCCAACAGGGAACAAAGAACAAAGAGAGCAAGTCCCTGCAGTGGTTTCTCCACAGAGCCCAAAAAACCACATCTGATAAGCTATGTAATTTGCTATAGCAATTTGTGCCAAAAATAAAGGCACACTTCTGCAGAGTCGTACATTTCTAAGAAAAACCAAGCCACGCCCCATGCTAATCTCGCTCCTTTTCTTTCCTTTTCGAATGTGATGTTTATGGATAGAAAACACCAGGCTGCATATTAGGTCCCCTATCATTGCTGTCTCTTGGCCAAAACTGTGCCCATCACCCTCTGGTTCCTCCCTGAAGCCTCTCCACTGGCACACTGAAGCCCACAGGGTAAGCTTGGGCAACAGCAGTGGTCTGTTTTACAATGCCCCAATAACATGATGTCTTTAACAGCCCAGCAGATTCTTGGCTGAGGGCCCTGGTAAAGGAAGAATCTTCGAAGTCATCAATTTTAATGAGCACTGCGACTGTTCCAGTAAACTGGATCCCTTTATTTCTGTTTGCTTGACAAAGAAACTTGATACATCCAAGACATTTATTCTTTTTCAGTTCAGCACCAGGACAGGAACTCACTTTTTCACTGACAATATTAGGCCCCCAATGGTGATAAAAATTCCTGTGTAGCCTTTTGGCGCCAAATAGTAAAGGAGGCTACAAAGGGGGAAAGACCCACACCACTGCAACAAAACCTCAATTGAACAAACACAAACACAGGAAAACATCAGGCTGGTTTGTTTGGTAAGGAAACTGTCAGAGGTCCCTTTCCAAGGTGGCCTTAGCAAGGCATCACATAGACTCCTTGTTCTGTAGAGGTGAAAACAGAAATTAATTTCATCAGAAATAATAAATTGTAGCAAATGTAAATTTGATCTGTGCTTTCAAGGGTGAGAATACGCCGGTGTGTGTGTGTGTGTGTGTGTGTGTGTGTGTGTGTGTGTTTGTGTGTGTGTGTGTGTGTGTGTGTGTGTGTGTGTGTGTGTGTGTGTGTGTGTGTGTGTGTGTGTGTGTGTGTGCTTGCGCGTGCACGGAGAGAGAGAGAGAGAGAGAGAGAGAGAGAGAGAGAGACAGACAGATGGAATAACAGACAGAAAGACAGAGACAAAAAAGATGAACATTTAATTATTTTCTAACAATGACATAAAATTTGGGGGGAGGACTATTCCTGAACACTATTTCTGAGAAGGCCACACTAGAGGTTGCTCAGTGAGGTCCAAGGCTTCTGTGAGATAAACAAAGAGATGAATTGCTTGGAATGTTTCTGTATCTGACAACGGCAACCCAGACTGCCTCTAATCTGTTTCATCTCCCGGCTACCTCAGTGAGCTCTGACAGCAGGAGGCAGGAGGCAATCATCTGTTTTTAACCTCTTACTTAGGACAATGATCAGCTACATCAGCGGTTCTCAACCTTTGGGTCTAGACCCCCATGGGGGTTGCATATCAGATATTTGCATTACAATTTGTAACAGTAACACAATTACAGTTGTGAAGTAGCAATGAAAGTAATCTTCCATTACAACATGAGGAACTGTTTTAAAGGGTGGCAGCGTTGGGAAGGTTGAGAACCACTGCTCTAGAGCATCTGCCTTCCTCTTTTTTATTTGTTTGTTTTGTTTTCTCAAGGCAGGGTTTCTCTGTGTAGCCCTGGTTGGTCTGGAACTCTGTGGACCAGACTGGCCTCGAACTCAGAACTCAGAGATTCACTTGCCTCTGATTCCTGAGTGCTGGGATTAAAGGCATGTGTCAACCCTGCCCAGGAAACTGTCCTTTTAAATGAACTTTTTAATTAATAGAAATTCCTGTTTTACTTGATTTATTCTTTTAAGTGGAAAAAAACAAAAAACACGTCTCCCAGTACCCTGGAACAACAACATAAACAACAATCAACCCGGGCAGGGGGATTCTGCGAATTATAAATTGGTGGCAGGCCTCTATCAAAGGGGTCCTGGGAATCCCAAACTTCCAAGTGCCATAAAAATATCGATGTTTAATGATGATTGACTGGTTTTCAGAGGCTGTTGGGGTAGAGCTGAGTGAAAGCAGGGGTGCTGAAATGACTTCAGGGGGCCCTCCCTTTGCCTCTTCATTGGTTTTTAAGTAAGCCATGAGCACAGTCAAGTGAAGGCTTTTCATTTTGAATTAGCTTGGCCTCTGTCATGGAGGCTCTTCCATCTTTTCCTGTCAACACTCCATTTATCTTCATCAAGTCCCCAGCAGGAAGATTCAGATCTTATGACTCTTTGTTTTACAGTTTTATCATTTACAGGAAATTCGCACAGAGAAAAACAGTGAGAAATTTACCCAAGTTTTTAGTAGATTTATCAGGAGGAAAAGGTCCCAATTGAGTACAGAGCACTGGAGTATAGTATCACTGTATAGGAAGGAGTTGGCACTGTAATGCAATATCTCTTCAGGCAATTTTTATTTTGTTTGTAATTTTTGTTTCTTTCAGATCCCAGCAAAATATTTGCTGTGTGAACCTCAGACCTTGTACCTGATTCTGTTTTGGACCTGGATAGGAAAAAACTTAACAACTGAGAAAAAGCAGCCCTGGAAATGTAATACCGGGTTAGATTTGAGGATGGTCAACTGTCGTCCTCCAGGTCTTATATTTCACTCTGTCTTCTGTCACTGTAAAGACTGGGGAAAAAAGACAAGTTTGATTTCCTCAAAGTCTAACCCAAACGTGCTTGAGTGAAAACATCACAAACACTGTCCTGGTGAGCTGAGGCCCATAGCCAAAACTGGGGAGTTTCTTACAGGTGCAGAGGCCGAAAACCATCAACATTCGCACAGCCTATCATTTACTCAGCAGAGCTCTTTCTATGTCCTCGAACTCTCCACCTTCTTTCCTCAGATGCCATGGCCGCATCCTCCCAGAAGACTTGGCCTGGCACTGCCAGGGGACCACATAATCTTATCTTCCAACACTGGGAAGAGGAAGAGTTAAGCTTCAACGAGGAAGCTTCCTGTCTGTTTGTCCCTTTATTTTAAAAGGGAGACTCGTCATCAGCCTGTCATTCTTTCTAATCACCCTTGCTTTTTCTGAATCTGCATTTCCACGGGCTGGAGATAATCTCCAGTGCTGTCCTCATTGGCTCAACTCAGCGTGGGTTCCCTGAGGTCTTGCTAACTGTCTAAACTTTCAGCGCCTCAGTCCAATGCTGGCTCACTCAGGAAAGCAAAAGGCAAATTGAACAATTAAATTCAAGCTGTAGCTTCCGTCATGACTCAAGAACAGAAAAAAAAAATGTTTTAATAGCCAGTGGCACATAAAGTACCATTAATCACTCAGAATTTATGATTTCCCATTGGAGGCCCCAAACAACGTCATTTTGCCCAACTCTGTTACAGCATTGGGTTTGAAAAGTCTTTTCAAAAATAACCATTTGGTTGACTCTTTACCCAGGGCTAAGCAGTTTGAGAAATCTTTTATTAAAAACAAAACAAAACAAACAAACAAACAAACAAACAAAAAAACCGAAAGAAGTGCGAACCCTCTTTCTTTTTTTCTTGTCTTCTTCATGCCCACCCCTTGCCTCCCTGCCTTGGCTTAGCTGCCCCATTGCTGTGTCAGCATGCTGAGATCTGTGGAACACTCCCACCTCAGGAATTTGAAGCCTTCTGCTAAGTCCTTTTATTTCTTTGAGTTCAAGCTATCGATTTTTGTATTCAGAAAGACTTGGAGGCTTATGCTATAGCCCTGGATTTTTATTCTTGGGGCTGTATGGATAAATTAGGCCATTTTGGGAAAGTCCTTTGCAGTCTCATTACCAGGGACACTTGACTAGAATATCTCCGAAACATTAAGTATTATTTGGTTGTTCTCACAATACACAGAGAGGATTCCACTCCCCCACCCCATGTTTCCAGTGGAGTAAGTAGTTGAAATGCTGTTGTAAATTCATTTGTTGGTAATTCTAAGATGAATAGAATAATTGATTTGAGGGCTCCAAGTAAATATTTATCAGCACAAACTCACATTTTTAATTTCCTAAGAAGAGTGCACTATTTTCCTTGCTGCCTAGAAATCACTTCAAAAATCTATATGCAGTCAGGGCTTCAAAATCACTTGGGGATTTTGTTCTTAGGCTAGTTGAACTAGAGTTTAGCTAAAATACTTAGAATGTAAGTAAGAATTATTTTTTAAAAAGAATTCTTTTTCTCTGTTGGGATTAAAGACTTTAGTTAATGCAAATGCTCCCCTTGAATAAGAAACTACCGTGGAGAATGCATTTTGTTGTAAGCTATTCCTATATATTTTATCCACAGTGTGAACAGTATTGTCCCAATGATATTGTCCCCATTACACAGATGAAACAGAGTGTTAGCGGGGTAGGTGGTCTGGAGATCCTGAAAAGTACATCAACATCATCATCATCATCACCACCAGCATCATCACCACCACCATCATCATCATCATCATCATCATCATCATCATGATGCCATCAGCAGCAGCAATAGCAGCAGTTCTAGGAAGGTAGGTGTGACTCTAAGCCTACCTTTGCTTCTGTCCTAATCTGTTGCTTCTGTGGGCAGCCGGCTGAGGAGGCTTGTTTGACATACACCCTACTGCTTGCCCTGGCAGCTACATCACCACAGAGAAGTATTTCCTCGAGCTGTCTGCCAACAAGAGGGGTGTGGAGAGCCATTGCTCTTGACTCAAGCATCTCATCAGGAATTCTGATGATGAGCTTCTCACTGCTGTCTAAGGATATGGGAGGCTTGGAGTGGCCACTTCAACTTTGCAGCCAATGGCAAAGTATTTGAATTGAGAGGAAGGCCCCGCACATCCTGGCATTGTTGTAGCCGTAGCCGGTGTGGGGAAACAGACAGAATCACCAGAGCTTTCCTGTGACTTTTCTGTTTATGGTCATTCCACAGGCCTCTAAGAGTTAGAAACTTCAGTTGGTTAGTTCAGAACAAGATAGCCTGAGAGAGGCTCTAGGCCTCTGTGTGCTTATAAAACAGAAAGGCTGGCTTTCTGGGATTCATTCTTTCCCTTCAGAGTTCCAGGCTCTGGTATGGGACTTATTCTTCCCTCAGGCATCCTGGATCTTCATTCTCCCTCACTGGAGTTCCCTCTGGTGAGCTGTCACTAAGAAGGGATTGAGTCAATTATTTCATCATGCACAACAGTGACTTTACGGCTGGAATGCCAGGAATCAAGCAAGGCCAGTCTGTCTCAGAGGCAACCGAGGTTTCTTTTCACTGCTGGATGTATAGGGCCTAGGGAGTGCCTACTCACAGACTACTAGAGAAAGCTGCCCTAAAAGGGGCAGACAGACTGACATGGATGGAACATGACACTGATAGAGATGGTGAAAGGCAGGGTATGTCTCCAGGAAACAATAACAACAGCAACAACAAACTACAAAACTACTACAACTACTACAAAACCAGGAGTTTCCTGATTGGCACTCTCTCCTTTTATCACCTATCAAGTCACACAACTACAGCTGAACATTTACATGGTGGTTGACAGGGTGTGTGGGGGAGTTTCTACTAGTAGGAATAGTTTCATTCCTGTGTCTGGGTAGCTTCGTAGTGCTAGATCAGAATTATGCTTTTAACTATCTCCTCTTGGTCCAAGATCTTTTCCAAAGAAGAACAATCATAAACACTAGTATTTGAAATGCTGTTAGCCTAGGGAGTGCAACTGTAATAATAAGTCTTTCCGCCAAGCTGCCTGAGCCCTGCTGCCACATGGGTGCTTTCTGCTAGGCCACCCAAGTTCTGCCCGCTGCCATATTTTGGTCCCAAGTAACACACAGAGACTTATATTAGGTACAAACGCTGCTTGGCCAATGACTAGGATTTCTCATCTGCTAGCTCAGTCTTAATTATCATAAATCTATACACTTTATAAGACTTATCTTATTGGATGCCAGTGGAAGCCTCCTGTCTTCCCAGGCTCACATGGTGCTCTACCTTTCTCCTACCTTTCCCAGAATCCTCCTTGACTCCTATTCCCACCAGCTTGTTTTCCTATTGGCCAACAGTACTTTATTTATCAACCAATAAGACAATCATATACACAGAAGGACCTCCCCCATCATGCAACCTCCAAAGATGACATCTATTTGAAAAGTGTGTTAATTGGCAGTAGAGTCTGGCTAAGTTTTACTAAACCTTTTCGTGTGCCTATTGTTTATGGGAAGCTTTTTTGTAGGGTCAAGTTGCACAGCTCATTGAGGAAGTTTTCTGCCGTGTGTGCAATCTCCTTGTCCCTTTATGTACAGTGGACATCCACTGGAGCACTCATTTCAGGGTGACATCCCAGGTCTGGAGAAACATTTTGGAGAAAGGATGTTCTTTCATAGATGGCTCAGAAACAGCACTGATTATCTAGAGACCCACAAAACACTGAACATTGCATTCCATGGTTGGGTAGGTCGATGGCACATTTCTTCTCTCTCTCTCCCTCTCTCTCTCTCTCCCTCTCTCTCTCTTCATCTCTCTCTATCTCTCTCTCTATCCCTCTCTCCCTTTGCCCCCCCCCCTCTGTGTGTTTGTGTTCAAGAAATGGCCAAAGATATTTCTGACTGTTGTGACTACTTTCTCCACATTTTTCTCCAAAGCACAGAGTGGAAGGGTTGAGAAATACCTCTGAATAATTCACCTTTTTAGAAAGATACTTTGGGGATATTTGGTGTAAAGCCCTCCACCACACACACACACAATAAAGAAGGGAATCTCTGATTATCATATTATCATATTCTGTCTCTCCTTCCCTCCCTCCCTCCCTATCTACCTACTTCCTTCTCATGCTGCTTTCTGGTTGTTCTATAATTATTTCTCAAAGTCTGACTATATCCACTAGACTGTGGGCTACCTGAGACACATATGTCTACATTTTTGTGCCCTTAGCATCAAGTGAGAAACTGGCTAAGAATCAATACTTGATTATTGAATGACAAATTATTTCCATATTATGAATTTTTGATTTTCAAAGAATCATTTCCCTGGAAATAGGATACTGCTTTCAGTCATTTCAGATAATTCTCAGTGTAGTGGAGCCAATAATGTGATCCAAGTAAGGTTAGATTATGAACTAGGGTTAGATGTCAATCTTTCTTACTGTAAATTCATTGATCTGACATACAGATACGGTCAAAGACAGTACTAAAGGCACAGAGTTGAAGACTCTTAGAAGAAAGGCGTGTGCCTTAGCAAGGCTAGCTTTCTGGGAAGGCATGCCTGTGAAATAACATTGACTGCTGCATTTAGGAGGCCTGCAGTTGGGTTAATGCCATACTGTTGCTACTTTGAAATTCATGTTTTGTTTTTTGTTTTTTAAACAAAAGATCTGTGTTTTTATTTGGCCCTGGTTTTGTGAGTGAAGTGGCTGATCCTGAGAGCTCATGAGACAGTGGGAGCCTCAAGGTCCAAGGTCAGAAACACTGCACATAGTGTCTATGCACAGAAGATCAGTAGAGACAGCCTTGGCTGTCAGGGGAGTTCATCTGACCTGGCTGGACTGTGCTTCAGGCATGCATAGAGTGGCTCCTTGAAAATCGGAGAGTGACAGGATAGGACTGTGGTCTGGGAAGAGCAAGCCTTCTAGGGGAGAGTTTTCAGGGAGCTAACAAGACCTTTTTCTTTTGAGAGAGAGAGGAAGGCTCTTTTGGGAGAGAGGAAGAGCCTGATTTACTGTGCTAGAGGACTGGGGCAGTTTTGGGGCGGGTGAGGACATACCTTCTTATTCAGAGTA